AGAACGCCGCGGACACATGCGCGAAAATGCGTCGCACCGCGGACGGGGAGCGCATCTACGTCGAGTGGAGCCTCTTGGAGCCATGTGGAGTCGTCGGCGATGAAGGTGAGAGTGCCGAGACGGATCTCTTGACCCTCGATCAAAACTCCAGCAGACACCATGATGAAAATACTCGGAAGAATCGCAACTTCTCCACAAAATCGCTAAAACACCTGCCCCACGGTGGGCGCCAACTGTCGTGGTTCTAAGCCTGACAGTAGAGTGGGGGGTAGGTATGGAGAGGCAAGGTCCTAGCTATGGAGAGGTTGTAAGCACAAAGGATGTACGAGTTCAGGCCCTTCTCGGAAGAAGTAACAGCCCTACGTCTCGGAGCCCGGAGGCGGTCGAGTGGATTATGAATGTATGGATTATAAGGTGCCCCACCCTTCTGCCTGTGGAGGGGGGTGGCTTATATAGAGTGCGCCAGGACCCCAGCCAGCCCACGTAGGAGAAGGTTTAAGGTGAGTTAAGTCTGGGGCGTTACTGGTAACGCCCCACATAAAGTGCCTTTACTATCATAAAGTCTACTTGATTACAGACCGTTGCGGTGCAGAGTGCCTCTTGACCTCCTGGTGGTCGAGTGTGTCTTCGTGGTCGAGTCCTTCAGGCCAGTCGAGTGTGTCCTCGTTGGTCGAGTGAGTCCTCGTTGGTCGACTGGAAGGCGACCTCTTCTAGGGATGTCCTAGGGTCAGTTACTTAGGACAGGTTCGTGACCCTACCCTAGGTACATAACCCCATCAGTAGTCTGGCCTCATTCGGCCTCAGGTAGATTTACGGTCAAGTCGCTTTATTCTAGACTTATTGGTAGTACTCCTTCGACCAGATTCTCTTGTGTTTGGAAGTCCAAAGTTCCTCCTAAGATTAAAATTTTCCTTTGGCAAACCTTTCGTGGTCGCCTGCCGGTTGCTGACCAGATTAAAAAGCGCGATGGGCCTGGCTCGGATTTCTGTCATCTATGTGGGGCCTTGGAGAACTCTGATCACATCTTTTTCAATTGCGTGCTGACCAAGCTGGTTTGGTGCTGTGTCAGATCTTGGCTTCAGGTCTCTTGGAACCCCTCCTCTTTCTCCGATATTCGAACCCTAACCAAAGCTTTGGTTGGGGTCACCAAGAGGGTGTTTTGGGTTGGCTTGGGTGCCTTATGTTGGGCTCTGTGGACCATTAGGAACAAATTTACTATTGAGCATATCTTCCCATCTAAGCCTGCTGACGTTCTTTTCAAATCATGTATATTATTGCAGCAGTGGAGATCATTGACTAAGGAGGTTGATCGGGATGCCCTAGACCTGCTCATCGACAAAATCCGGGCTTCGGCATCTCACATCTCCGGACGGGATCCTGTCGTCTAATCCTGGTGGTGCTGTTTGCGGAGTTTAGGTCTCACTCCTTTCCGCCCTGCGCGCCGTGTATGGCAGTTGCCTGTATCCATCCTTCCTTGGCTACTCTTATATACTTTTCGTTCCGTGCGCTGTGTGCGTTCTTCTCGTTAACTGGTCTCTTTCCTGTTTGGTCTCGTGACGTTGCCATGTGGCTTTATTTATAAAGTCGGGCTCTGGCCTTTTTTCTAAACAGCACACACAAATAATTCCGCATGCCACCCAATTATTACGTTAAAAAATTATTCCCGCGTGCCATCCGAGTGCCTGTCCCCAGTGGTCGACATGGAGAGGACGACGGCGAGACCCCAAGGACAAGAGAGACGGAGGAAGCCTCTCCTGAAAACAGCAGCCTCGTCGTGCATGGGCACGTCCCCATCGCCCGGAAACGCAAAGGTCCAAAACCTCCCCCGACGATCCCCGCTGAAGCACGCGACAGACCGCCTGCCCAATCCGGCCCACACAGCTGTCCGCCCCTCCAGCAAAAACCATCATTTCGCCGGAGCCGGAGCCGTGGCCGGGCACTCAAGCAAGCAAGCCAGCCAATCCAGGCTGCCCGTAGCCCGCTGCCGCGTCGCCCCACCCCAGCCCGGCCGGTATGAAACGGGGCGCGGGCGCGACAACGCCGGCACAGCAGTAGCCGTCTCGTAGACCGTGGTCGTACCCACCTGCCCGCCGGGCCCCGTCCCCGTCCCGCGTACTGGTGCCCATACCATACGCCGGTGTCTCGATCTGCGCAGCCCAAGAAACGCAGACGTAGTACTCCTACGTGCATGACTGGTTACCTGGCGTGCCGTACCGTTCCCCGAAAGAACCGGCCGTCGCGCCAGGCCGGCCCCGCCGCGTGCGCATGCTACAGGATCCAGGCTCGACACAGCGCGGCACAGGTGTGCCTCGCCGGCGCACTCGTGAGGGTTCTGTTCGTACACGTTGCGCTCTTTTCCCCGGGGAGCGGGTGATGGCGGAGCATTCTTTTTACCGGCGCATCAATGCCTACAGCTAGAGGAGTAGGAGCAGAGCGGGTGATCTCTGACCTTATCTTCGAGTAGACGCGCGGCGTAGTCACGTAAAGAGATGCGCTTTCATTCCCTAGTGTCACTAGTCAAACGGCTCGGTATAAAGGGAGGACACACATGAATGAGATGACGTTAGACCAAGGAAAAAAGGTGAATGACCTGTCCTGCACGCACCACAATCGAGTCCACGAATCCACCAATCTTTGGTTCATGATGATGATCCAAACCGCAACTAAACCTAGGATACACAAAGGGTTCCCAGCTCCTTCTCGTGTCAGCTCCACGCCGCGACTCCAAAAAGTTGGGAATCATCTCGTCTCATCTCATGGGGGGCGGGTTGCCTGCTCTAAAGCCCCAGCCTACTACGCTTAGACTGAAACAAAACAGCCGGAGGTCCACACTATAGGTGGTACTTACTCCGTATGTGGTACCTCCACTCGCCTGGCTCAGATGCTACCCAGGCAATGGCCCTGTTTGGATACTCTAACACAGTTAGAGTTAGAGTTATTTTCTAACCCACTCTAACCCAAATAAGCACCTCTCCACCGGGATAGTTGGGTTAGATGAAACTAACCCACTCTAACTCTTTCTGTTTGGATACTTTTGGGTTATTTGAGCCTTCAACTAACCCAAACTAGCTCTAACCCCATGATCCAAACATGGCCAATGAATCACCGTACCCCTGATCTCCTCCGGCTTGCAGTTTGTTTGTGCCTGATAAAACAACTTTGGATGTACAGTACGTTACCACTGTTGCCCGTCATCCACGGGCTTAATGATTGCCATCTAATTGGGAGATTTCGTGTCGTGTAAGGCTGGAGCCGACTCCTCCAGGTAAAGCTAAGTAAGGAAGGAAACAGTACATGACCAAACATGCAGTGACAATCAATGAAATTGTAGTACAAATAATGCGTGTACAAACATAGATGGGCACAGTATAGGAACTTGCTAGGCGGGACCCCACGACCTCGCATGTAGTAGTAGAGGAGCCATCGCCTTGTCTAGTCACGCTGGCTAAATCAATACCCCCCGACTTGCATGAAGTAGGACCATCACCCGGTCTCATCCTGTAGCTGCACCCTACATACAGAAAGATAAGCCCTCTCTACCCGGCGGCCTTCCCTCCAAAACCAGCTTATCCACGCCCACCGGGACCGCCATTTCCTCGAGCTCCCCTCTCTTGGTTCTGCAAAACAAGCTCGCCGCCGGCCCGGCCCGTCTCATCCCCGCCTTCCACCGCACGTACTCATCATAAACTCGGCAAAACATTTTCTCTGTCTTTAGAAAACAGCCTGAACGCTTTGCACATTACAGCACGATTTTCTCTCTATTCCCCCAAACTTTTGCCTACCGTGGGTTTTTTCTTTTGAGGGAATGCCTAATGTGCGTGGGGGCGCTACCGATTATTGGTGTGGCATCATGATTGATTGGCACTCCATCATGGCATGGCCCATCTGAACCAAGCCCGCTAATGGCCAAACCATCACACGTCAAGGTCGATCTCGTTATGCAACCAACAACGGTGGCACCCATGTGAAGAATTTACGTTTCGGTTCTCCAGACCTCCTCCGACCAGACAGAGAAGCGGGATGGGTCCCCTCGTCCCCGCCGAGGCCGACGGACGTCGAGCCGACCTCCTGTGCCGTCCGTCCACTGTGTTATTCCATCGTCTCCATGATCATCAGTCCGTCCAAATCACGAGATTAGGACGGTAACGTAGTGGGATTACCGGTGGCGTGCCGCGCTTGGGCCTCCGGGGCGGGATACGACCGGTGACGGGGCCGAAAGCAGGGGTCACATGCCAAGCATGCATGCACAATGCTTTGCATCGATGGTGCCAATCTTTTTCCACGGGGTCGATCCATCCTTAAACATGGCCGGCAGGCACGACCCGAGATCGGCACGGGCGACGCCGATCGCGGCGATGGCAACACCCGCTCCGGCTCACATTGGGCGTCTACTGCGTGGATACGGTGTACTGCCGTACATTGTCGCGTCACGCCTTACTTTACGCCTAGAATACCGTACTGTGGGCTGTGGTATGGTATACAGGAGTACACGATATTTCTCTTCTCGTCTCTTTCACCGTGGTCGACGCTCGACAGGTTAATTCACTACCGAAAAATGCTGACGCGCCCCCACTTCCGCGCCGCAAATCTCGGACGTGACGGTCGAGGCCTCCCCCGCGCACCCAAATCTCAGTTTAGCAGCAGGAAATCCGCTTGTTTAATCCCTTCCCGTCCAAATCCCAGCCAAGAGCGCGCCACGTACCGGCGCTCGGCGTGATGCGGTGTGAGCTGGCTCATGACGGGCGCCGGCCGCTGCCTACAAGTAGCGGGGGCGGGGCGCGAGGCCCAAGGCAAGGCAGAGAGCGGCGAAAAGGTTCGCCAAGTGTTGTCAGCTTTGCGCCGCTCCACGTTGTTCCCGAACCCTCTCCGTCCCGGGGACCTAGACTTGCAACGCTCGCCTCGAGCGAGCGATTGATTTTCGCTGAAAGGGTGAGAGGTGGGAGGGAGCGGGCCGCTCGTGTGCGTCTGGGGGCGTCTGTGGTGCGCGTTGGTCGGCGGCGATGGACCAGGTGCAGCGGAAGAGCAGCCTGAGGTCCTACGGCTCGGCCAGGTCGCTGTCGGGGTCGGACGAGCAGCCCGGCCTCGGCGAGCGGCGGGAGGTCGTGCTCAAGATCGACGGCAACGGGAACGGCCCCGCGCCATTCGCCGTCCCCGTCGGCGGGGCGGCGGGGAATGCCGGCTCCGGCTCCAACGCCGGAGCCAAGCCGACGGCGGGCAGGACGCTGTCCACCGCCGCCAGCTCGCCCACCAAGGGCTGGGACGACGGGAGCTACGACTTCTGGAAGAACGAGGGCGGCGGGAAAGGGGGAGCCCCCGCGCCCCGCGTCGAGGACTTCAGCTTCAAGAACCGGCCGGCGCAGCCGCCCACGTCACCGCAGGTATCGTCCCCTTCGTTCTCGCCCAAGCAGCAGGCGAGCGCCCCGGTGGAGGTCGCCGAGGACCCGCCCACGCGCCTCATCGGGAACTTCCTCCGGAAGCAGAAGGCGGCCGGGGCCGAGCTGTCGCTCGACCTCGACCTGGAGATGGACGACATCGGGAGGTCGTCACACCCGTCCTTATCCAACTCCCGAGAGCGGGAGACGCCGCGCGTGTCCTTCAAGAACCGCCAGTCGTCCTCGTCCTCTTCATCCGATTCCGACACCGCCGGCGGCCGTAGGCGCGCCGGCGATGACGGTATACGCAACACCTCCACCTCCACTCCAGCGGGGAAGGGCCCATTAATGCGAGCCAAGACGCGCTCCCGGCTCATGGACCCGCCACCACAGTCACCCATGGCGCCGCCTGCCGTCGACGAGGAGCAGCGCAAGTCCTCTGCCATGCGACCTCCCAAGTCCGGCCAGTTCCCTTCAGGGCGTATGACCGGCAAATCCGGCCAGTCTCCTTCCGGGCGCAAGTCGGGCGGCATCGGCAAGTCGGGCCCCATGGAGGAGGAGGAGGACGATCCGTTCATAGACGACGACATCCCTGACGACTTCAAGCGCGGGAAGCTGGACGCCCTCACCATACTGCAGTGGGTCGGCCTGGTGCTCATCATCGGGGCATTGGTGTGCAGCCTCACGATAAAGCCCTTGTCCCGGAAGAAGGTCTGGGAGCTGCACCTCTGGAAGTGGGAGCTCCTCGTGTTCGTGCTCATCTGCGGCCGCCTCGTCTCCGGCTGGGTCATCCGGATCGCGGTGTTCTGCGTGGAGCGCAACTTCGTGCTGCGGAAGCGCGTGCTCTACTTCGTGTACGGCGTGCGCGGCGCCGTGCAGAACGCGCTCTGGCTCGGCCTGGTGCTCGCGTCGTGGCACTTCTTGTTCGACGAGAACGTCCAGACAAACACGGCGGTGCTGCCCTACGTGACAAAGGTGCTCTTCTGCTTCCTCGTCGCCACGCTCATCCGCCTCGTCAAGACGCTGCTGCTCAAGGTGCTGGCCTCGTCCTTCCATGTCTCCACGTACTTTGATCGGATTCAAGAGGCATTGTTCAACCAGTATGTCATCGAGACACTCTCTGGGCCGCCACTGGTTGACGAGGACTACGTGCTTGCTGAGGTGCGTGAGCTGCAACGGGCAGGCGCAACCATCCCGAAAGAGCTGCGTGCCGCCTTGCCAGCCAAGAATCTTTCGGGGCAAAAGAGCATCCGGATCTCGGGTTTAATCTCTAAGGGAGACCAATCAAGCAGGCAGCTGTCAAAGGAGAAGAAACAGCGTGAGATTGACGAAGGGATCACCATTGACAAGCTCCACAGGCTCAATCAGAAAAACGTCTCGGCATGGAACATGAAGAGGCTGATGAAGATTGTTCGTTTTGGGACGCTCACCACAATGGACGAGCAGATTCAGCAGGCAACAGGAGAGGGCGATGAGTCTGCGACACAGATTCGCAGTGAATATGAGGCGCAGCTGGCCGCCAAGAAGATCTTCCATAATGTGGCGAAACCTGGATCCAAGTAAGCATTTTTTGTTGTTATCTTAGATAAGCGTCCTCATCTTTTACTTTGCGAGTTAAATCATTTTAGATAGATAACTGTACTTCATCTGCCATGTAGAAATTTTGAGCTCATGAGGTACACCTGTAGTATAATTAGTAGTTCTGTTAATTTCATAAATATCATGCTAAAAAAATCATGCTTACTGTTAAGACTTGTAGTGCACTGCTGTGTTCACTGTTAATCACTGAAGTGGACATGTTGCAGAACTTTTTTTTGGCGGGTGCCATGTTGCAAAATTTTACAAGAATACTTGCCCTTTGCCCTCAGCCCCCACTTCAATATTTCAAATGTGGTAGTTCTAAGAATAGTGGCAATTTACTGATTCAGATTCTTGATGGCAAATGTATGAATAATGCAGATACATATACTTGGCAGACATGATGCGCTTCATGAGGCAGGAGGAAGCCATCAAAGCTATGCATCTTTTTGAAGGAGCACAGGAGCACTGCAGGGTCAGCAAGAGGTCTCTGAAGAACTGGGTGGTAATGATCTTATTACCCTACTATCTAAGTTGCATAGAGTTATCATTGGTTTCTGACGTCAAGATGCCTTTTCTAACATGGTCATATGGTTTCTTCTGTAGGTTAATGCATTTAGAGAGCGCAAAGCTCTTGCCCTAACACTTAACGATACAAAAACTGCAGTTAACAAGCTCAACCAGATGTGCAATGTCGTTGTTGGCCTCATAGTGTCTGCTCTCTGGCTTCTTATTTTGGGCATAGCGACGACACATTTCTTTGTCTTCATCAGTTCACAGCTTCTTGTGGCAGTTTTTGTGTTCGGGAATACTATGAAGACAATTTTTGAGGCAATTATTTTCTTATTCGTGATGCATCCTTTCGATGTCGGTGACCGCTGTGAGATTGAAGAAGTTCAGGTAACAAAAATATCTTCTCGGTGCTCCTTGTTTGTTTAATAGGATAATACCTTGCGTTCTTTGACTGACGTTTTAAGCACTTGAATTTCAGGTTGTTGTGGAGGAAATGAATATCATGACGACAGTCTTCCTACGTTATGATAACCTGAAGATCTATTATCCGAACAGTGTGCTGGCCACCAAGCCGATTTTTAATTTCTACAGGAGTCCTGATATGGGAGAGGGAATTGACTTCTCTATTCATGTTGCCACGCCGGTGGAAAAACTAGCTCTCATGAAGGAAAGAATACTACGGTGCGTGCCGGTGCTTCTGTTATCTCAGTTTCATATTGACAATATAGATGTAAACATAAGCATATGAAGTTTGTAGTGCCATTTGCTGCTGATATTACCACATCAAACTAATAGTTGCTTTTTTTCACTTGTGGCCCAGTTACATTGACGGTAAGAAGGAGCATTGGTACCCTGGTGCGATGGTTGTCCTCCGAGATGTAGATGACACCAACAAGCTAAAGGTGTCCATATGGCTCCGGCACACGCTCAACTTCCAGGACATGGGGATGAGGTTCGTGAGGAGGGAACTGGTGCTCCAGGAGATGATCAGAGTGCTCAAGGACCTCGACATCGAGTACCGGATGCTGCCGCTGGACGTGAACGTGCGGAACGTGCCCCCTCTTCAGTCCACAAGGATGCCGACGACATGGAGCTATGCCTGAAGCGGCGAACGCGAGGGCCAGAAGATACAGCAGTAGCAACTATAGCGGATAGCCATTAGCTGTTAGTGTGCCTGCTGTGATGAGTGTGTTGTGTAGTATAAAAAGCTTTGGTGCACTTGGTGATAGGCAATGCAGATAGTGGCCATTTGAAATGTTGAAAGCGGCCTGCCGTTGCCGCTGAAACTTTTGTTGAAAGCACGCTGCTGCTTGGCCCAGCTCTGAATATCTTCTGGTGATGGAACGAGACGGCAGCTCCAGCCGTCTCCTCCACGCGCGGTAGGCCAGCGTCGAGCGGAAACACGACGCCGTTTCGCCTCTTGACCCGGCAATTCTGACGCCGACTGCTCATGGCGAACGGTGCGAGCGCGACGGAGTAAGAAGAGCACAACCGCGCTGGTGTGAAGTCGCATTCGTGGGCGTTGCGGTGGGTCGTCTTCTGAAGCATCTTACGCAAGGGCACGCCTCGGCCCGTGCCCCAGTCTGGTGGTGCCCACGAAGCACCGCCCATGGAGGCTGCCGATGCCAGTGTTTGTAAGAGCGACTGGTCTGGTGGTGTTCGAGCAGGGGAGAAATGTGGATGTGGGTTTTCAAGCCGGAGCTTGAGAGCATTGAGGGCCTATTGGCTATTGATGCTGAGCTTTGCTGTCGTAGGGCCTCTCTGCTAGCTGAGCTCAATGAAATCCTCACGAACGAAGAGTGAACTCAACGAAATCCTCACGAACGAAGAGTTGTTTTGGCTCCAACAATCTAGTGAAGGCTGGTTGCTTAAAGGGGATCAGATATTATCATCGCATCGCTAATGGTAGGAAGCGTAAAAACACGACCCATTCTTTTTCTGATGGTGAGGTGACGATTGAGGGCACCGAAAACCTTCTGAATTATGCTACCTCCCATCACAAGGGACCTCTTTGGGCCCGCCCCCAGAAACCTTTTCCACCCTTTCCCTAAAACATGGGGACAGCATGACAAACTTAACGATGATGATAATGAGTTTCTAACTCGGCCCTCTTCTGAGGAAGAAGTAAAAGTGGCTCTGTTTGAGATGGATAGTAATAGAGCTCCTAGGCTGGTAATATTCCCGTGGAGTTTTACAAAAGTTGTGGGGATTTCGTTAATACTGATATCATGCGTCTCTTCAAGGCTTTCCACGCGGGTACTCTGGATGTAGCGCGTCTGAATTATGGTTTGATTACCTTGATCCCGAAGCTGTCACGAGCAAAAAAAAATCCAATAAAATCCATCCTATCTACCTTCTTCGCTGCCCTATAAGCTGATCACCAAAACTCTTAACAATCGGGTAGCTGCCTATTATGATAAGTTGGTTAGTTGTCACCAAAATGCTTTTATAAAAAATAAATATATTATGGACGGGATCCCGACCTTGCACGAGCCTTCACCACACTCATGTTAAGAAGAAAGTGGGCATAGTTCTTAAGCTTGATTTTGAAAAGGTTTGCGATGAGATCAATTGGGTCTTTTTTGCTAGAATGCTAGAAGTTGAGGGGCTTTAATGATACCTCGTGTGAATGGATTTGTAAAAGGGACTGTCTAGGGCACATCTAGATATGCCTTAGTTATTGCACATCTAAGTGCTTAATTAAACTAGAAAGAAAAAGGGGGAAAGACAAAAGAAAATTCTTACACGAATCTTAGTGTAAAATCAATGATATAGGATTTAGATGTGCAATACTTATAGTACATCTAGATGTGCTTTAGCAAAACTGTTTGTAAAATTCTTCACAATGGTATAAGACGGGCCCTTACTTTCAGAGCCACAAGGGGATCCGTCAAGGAGATCCCCTGTCTCCTTTTCTATTTAATCTTGCTGCTGGAAGTTTGTCTAGAATGATTTTCAGTGCCCAGAAAGAGAAGTTGCTATCAGGCTTAGCCCCTGATTCCATTAGTGGTGGTGTGCTTGTTATGCAATACCGTCATTTGCTTTGAGCATGACCCCTCGGTGGCTGTTAACCTAAAACTGTTGTTATATCTGTTCGAGCTTATGTCAGGATTGAAGATCAGCTACCTAAAAAGTGAAATCCTCTGTATGTGTGTGTGTGGGGGGGTAGGGGGGTGGGGTGGGGTGGGGTGATGATAATATGTTGGACTTCTAGGCTAATTTGGTTAACTGTCAGATAAGCCATTTCCCCATGAAATACTTGGGGGTCCGAGTTAGCTTTTCTACTTTGAGATGCTTGGACTAGATTTTTGTGGGTAAAAAGTTTCTGAAGTGTTGTGAATCTTGCATTTGGAATGTAGCCTCCTTGGGAGGCAGGCTCACTCCCCTGAAATCCTCCCTGACTAGTATAGTTTACTTTTACACTAGGGGTTAGGGCGCGCCCGTGGCGCGCCTCTTGAGGGGCAGCTGGGCAGTGCCAGCTAGTGGGTGCACCTTTCACATACATTTTTGTTCTGGTTGGCATGTCTCATATTGCTGTTAATTAAGCACCTGACATTTGAAGCAGAGAATAGGAGTAGAAATTAATAGATATATATAAAAGAGTGCCATTATGGATCTGAACAGGTGGATGTAAACCACATGACTGAGAATAGTAGAGTTTACATAGGCAACGGCATAGCTTTCAGATCTTCAAAATCATGAGATAGCAGGGTCCAAAAGTAAACCATCGGTTAATCACGAGCATAATTCAATGTACTGTGCTAGATTATATTCACACAGGAACTGTGGTGTCTTCGATGGTGGATCTAGAGGCAGTGCACGGTGAGAACACGCGGCGCTTTGAAGTGACCCTGAAATGAAAAGCACAGATGTCTCCTTCGCGAATGTTGGCACGGCGACGAAACTCAGACCAGCTGGTGGTTATAGTGGCCCTCTTGTCAGTTCCTAGCATAATGCGACATTCGACGCGTAGACGGGCATCCGCAAGCCTGACCATGAGTGTATCATTGTTGGGATCAATATAGTCCAGCAGGTTGTCTTCAGTATATTGTACCTGAAAGTAATGTTACAAGAAAGCATGCGATTTAGATGAACAAGGATTGTTGTGTGATATGGAAGATAAGAGTGTTTTTGTGGTTACCATGCGGTGGCCTGGCTTAGCAAATGTTTTATTGATTGTGCACATGTAGTACTTGATGTCTGGCTCCTTGTGCCAGAACATAGCAAAGAGAGCGTCTACCTGGTGTTCATAGAGCTTAACCTCATTACCCCTGTAACAATGATCTTCAAGCTCTTCGAAGTACTGGATCCCACAAGATGTTCCTGCAATCATTTCAATTTAGGTGAGAAGCAAGTTATGTACCGTTTGCAGGAGCTATAAGTGTGATTGTTTATTTGGAAAAAGAAATTTAAGCTATATAACAACGTAGGCGGGGCGTAGACATGAAGTCATATAAGTTAATTGAAAATTAGTTTTCGAAATGAGACAGGTGGAAGTTCTGAAATATAGGAGATGGTGAAAGCAATTTGTAAAGCCTTACATGCTAAAAGTAATCAGTACAAAAAAAAATGAAACATTGAGTAAACAAAAGTAGAAGAGAGCAATGAGCAGCAAAGGAAATAAATATTGATCTAGCAGATGTAGTGAATAGTTGAAGGCAGTCGATAAAGAAGTACGGTGATACATGGTAGATCATGATCCTGTGAGAAATAAGGCATGTGCTCACCGCGGATGTACTCTGGCTGGTCATTCTCTTCACTCTGTTCATTGTATGATACAATATAGCGTTAGAAATATGAAATGTGATTTTTCCCACTGGAAATTGTGAAGCATAAGAATGAAGCTATTTACTTCAGAAAAAGAGTAAAACAAAAAGCGGCAGTGATGTATCTGAAACATATTTTGTCACTTATAAAATTTAGCAGAAAGGTAATGTGCTATGTTGTCTGAATTAGGCATCAAAAGATAAATTTCAGAAATGAAAAACAACAACAACAGCTTAAGAAAAGAAATACTTGTCACATATAGTAATGTTTCACTGCAGCCTCTAACTAATCATGAAATGATTCATCATAAACATCGGATCCATGTTGCTCGAGGCGCTCGTGAGCACCGTGTGTATCTGCCAGCGAAATCCGCTGAACATGAACTATCACATTCAATTCCTAGAACATGAGTTCATACTCTTAACTGAATGAAAAGCATAAGAGGTTGTTTGGATTCTGCCAATGCCCGCCCCGCCAACCATGGGCTAGCCAAAAAATTGGTGGAGGTTTCGGCCGTCCCCGCCTTGCCAATGATTTGGCGGAAAACTGAACGCAAAGGGCTGACGAGCAGCGGGCGAGCTAATTTATCGGCGCCAATCGAAACAAACGCCCATCGCTCTGTCAACGCCAATTATTTGGTTGGGCAAGTATAGGAACCAATCCAAACAAACCCTAATATACAGAAAAAATATAGTAGTTCTTAGAAGAAGTATACACCTCTTTAATCTACCACAAGAAGCTCTTACAAAGGAAAAGAATGAAACAGAACATCAACCGGTGCTTTTAAACATAATACTTTCAGGGAGATATATTATGCAGTTCAATAGCAACAAAAAAAACGAAAAACACGGATTGAATTACCTAAAAAATATATAAGGTTCCAGGGTTCGCTCGTATGGTGTCCAACCTTATGTACATTTCACCTTCCTCTTCTTGTTTTGATTTATTTTTCTTTCCGTATCTGATTTTTCACCTTTTTTGGGTACTCAGATCAGAAATTATTTTGTAGCATTGCCGAAATGAAGGTGCATCAAGAAACAAATTTCAGAAATAAGAAGCAAGAGCAACAGCTTAAGAAAAAGTACACGTTACGTAGAGTAATATTTTCATACCACCTGGTTGAAATTTCAGCGTTCTTGGGAATTAGAGAGAGAGAGAGAGAGAGAGTAGAGAGAGATGGCAGACCAGCACCTGGGGCAGGAAGGAGACGGCGGGCATGCGACGGCAATGGGATACATGAGGAAGCCAGCGCACCTTTGGCACCGCTGGTGCCCAATCTCCGCCGTCTTGCCGTTGTTGCAGGCTGATTGGCGCAGCACCTCCGACCACTTTTTATCATCTGGTCACCACTAGGCCAGACCACCGCCGCCACTTCCCGCTCCTCCCCTCGGGTCAGATCGAGCAAAGTAACGAGCGCTTACTTATCAAGGAGGACGTCTGCATCCTCTTCACCGGTGGTAATGGCGACCTCCTCGAGCCTCTGAATCTCCTCTTCCTTGCTCACGAACGGCAGCGCCGCATGGGGATTCTCAGGAGGGCGCCTTCTCTGATGGCCGGGGCTGGAGGGGCATGGATGGTGGAGGTGGGTGTGGCAGCGGCGGCGGCGATGACAACCCTAGCTGCCAAACGAAAGAGGAAAGGAGAGGCGAGTGGGGATGACAGGGTTTCGCTCCACCACTTGTATATTTTTTTCTTTTATCCCTTTTTTTCTGCCCAATCCATGCGTTGGACGTGGCACGCGTGAGGCGGCGTCATTGATGCATACCTTAATGGTTTTAATGGCCATGTTCCTCCTTCCTAGGACTTTCATTGAGAAACTTGACAAACACGGACATCGTTTTTCTGGCAAAGTTTGGGAGGTCAAAAAAGATACCACCTGGTTTGCTGGGATTGTATGTGTCGATCGAAAACAAAAGGTGGGCTTGGAATGAAAGACCTTCGCAAGCAAAACATTAGCTTGTTGGTCAAGTAATGGTGGAAACTTGACACTCAACAAGGGCTTTGGTAAGGTTGATCAAAGCACAGTATCTCAAGAGGGATACCGGTGCCACGGTTAAAAGGAAATTTAACGAGTCCCCTATCTGGAAAGCTATCATGAAGATTAAAGAATATAATATATGTGGAAGGGTGATTCAGTTGAGATCTGGTGCCGTGGCCCGTGTCTGGGTGGTTTCCTTGAATGGATTGCCCCCTTTATACACTAAACAATTGAGGGAACTGGGTGTATATGAACCATCCACTTTTGAGATTGTGTTCTTGCTTGTGTTTTTTTTTTTTGAGGGAACTCCTCTTGTGTTTTCATGAACTACTAGGCATGGCTAATGAAAGGCGTAGATGGTGAAGCTCTGGAGCGTGGCATGATGATGTTGAGGGAGAATGCTAGCAACAAGATGCGGATGTGTGCTGCGGCCACAGACGATTCTACAGCAAGCTAGGAGCTTCATCTCCTTCCTCTCCTGACCTTGGTTGGTTGCCTAGTGCTGTCTTATTATGTATTTTGATGTTTGTTCTCTGCGTGGGCGCTGCTCACCTGTTGAGCCTGTCCTGATACTTGATACTTTTGTGGTTGCAGTGTCGTCGGGTTTTCGCCCCCCATAGCAGATGTCCCATTGGCGAGTTCCTGTAGTCAGTTTCCTAGCGATGTTTTGAACTCGCTTTCCCCTTTCCTGTCCCCTTGAACTCTGGATCTGGACTTTGTATTTCCGTTATTCAATTAATGGAAAGAGATTATACCTGATTCAAAAAAATGACAATCTCTTTGTACCTCCCTAAAAATTAATAACTTACACTATTTCTATGAACTGAACGCCTTAGAATTCGAGGGTTTAAATTTATGTTCATCCTCCACCCCCCAATTTTTTTCCTATGCAAGCTCATATATTTTTGCATAAAGGTATTTCAGATATATTTTCCACATTGGCACAGGAAAATGAGAAAATGAAAGGAAAAAAAAGAAGCCTTTTTACCCACCTGGCATGCAACCGTGCATCAGAAAGGGGACGCGGTGGAGGTGGAGAGGTGCCACGACCTGGTTCCCACCGTGGCTTGGCTTGGGAGGCGACAATTGTCGGCACAACACAGGCTCCCAAATGAATGTGGGACAAATATTTGAAAGCTCGCCTGGATTAGCGGGGGACGTTTTCTTACAAAAAGTCCTTTTCTTTTATTTTGAATATAATTTGATGAAGATGTGTCGGAGGAGGCTTAGGAGGCAGCGAAGGTCGGGTGCGGCGGCCAAGAGCTCTTCCGGCACAGTGATGATGACCGCGAGCTACAGCTTAGTAGCAAGAGGTGGTTGTTGCAAGAGTGGTGGCAATAGGCGGTACCGCAACTTGGAAGGGTGGGGATTGTGAGCATCCGAGTGACATGGCCGGAGAGGTTGCCGGCTTCGGCAATGGCGAGAGGCGGTGATTGCAAAAGGAAACTTCCTCCATACTTTTTATGGGATAGAGAGGGGGCAAATTCTAATCAAATATAGGCAGAATTTACTACTCCCTAAACTTAACCCCTAAAATTTGAGTGAGTTATACAATTTAGGAGAAGGAATACATAGTGTTAACTCCCTAGACAAGAATCAAGAAATTGATTTTTCAGGAAAGACCTAGAGACGCTCTAGTAGTACTAGTTGACGCGTGCTTTCTCATTTTCAATGTCTGGCAAAATTTATGAATATTTATCATTGTCAGGTAACAAAGCATTGTGATGGCCTAGAGTACCTGAAATGTTTTACCACCATTTGATGTTTCACACAATTTCAAACGACGAACAAGCACACCAGGTAAACTTCTTACGAAATGTTTTACCATCATGTGATGTTTCACACAATTTCAAACGACGAACAAGCACACCAGGTAAACTTTCTTACAAACGAACAATTCGAAAGCTCCAAACATGGTGTAAACTTGGGTCAGCTTCATTCCCATGCAGTAGGAACTCAAAAATTATTAGTAACATTTTATCAAATAAGTTTATCATTTGATACCATGTTATTTCAGGGACTTGCTAAGTTTTGGACAGAAACAGCAACCACGCATCTAATGTTCTAAACACATATAGTACAAATTTAGAGTTTCAGATGACAGAATTTCAGCACCACATAACTCTACATGTCACCTGTGCCAATGCTTAAAGCTTCGCGGTGGCTGCATCCTGGAGCTCAAAGCCCCTCTCCACGGCGTAGTCCACGAAGCTGTACAGAGGCAGCACCCGGTCGCCATACTTATCACCGAACCTGTCCGCCTCCGTCTTGGCCTGCGCCTTGAGCTCCTCGACGATGCCCAGCGCACGGTCCATGCCCAGAGAGCGCAGGACGCTGGCGTTGCTCCTCATCTTGCCGTTTCCCGACGCGCTCCGCATGTCGTCGACGAGCTCGTACAGGACGCCGATGGTGCGGCCGTATCGCCGCAACGCGGCCTCCTCGTCGGGGCCCGCGCCGCCTAGCATAGCCCCGCACGCGGCAGAGCACTCCGCCATCTCGCCGAACTTCTTGGTCAGGACCTGCATGACCTCGGCTTCACCGAGGGCGCTGGCACCGGCGAGGTCGAGGAACTGGCCGGCGGCCATGCCGGTGGATCCCACAGTGCGCGCGAGTTCCGCGAGAACGCGGAGGAGGACGGCGTGCGACACGGGGTCGGGGGAGGGGGTGCGGGAGATGACGTGGGTGTAGGCGAGCGGGAAGAGCGCGTCTCCTGCGAGGACGGCCATGTCCGTGCCGTAGGCCGCGTGGGTGGACGGGCGACCTCGGCGGGTGGGCGCGGCGTCGAAGCACGGCAGGTCGTCGTGCACGAGGGACGCCGCGTGGAGCATCTCCAGCGCGGCGGCGGTGGGGAGCGCCGCGGCGCGCGGCGCGCCGAGGAGCTCGCAGGCGGCGACGCAGAGAACCGGGGGCGCGCGCTTGGCGGCGCCCTCCTTCCCGGCGCCCGGGAGGACGGCGTGGCGCATGGCGTTGTGGATGCTCTCCGGCGGGCGGATGGGCATCGCGGCATCGAGCTCGCCCTCGACCTCCGAGATCAGCGAGGTCCAGTAGCGGCGCAGGTCAAAAGATGGGGAGGCGGTCGCGGCGGCGGCAGAGGCCCGGATAGGGAGGAAGCGGCTTGATTTGGAGGTGGATGGCGGCTTCGGGATGGGGAGGGGGAGGGAGACGAAGAGGGATGAGAGAGCCATGGCGACGGAGGGGCGCAGATTTGGGTTCGGATGTGGTTTCTTGGGTTGGTAGGCTGACCCGGCTAGGTGACGCTGTACCGCACTCCCGTTGTGCCACTAATCCGGTATATGATCGTGGGATACCCATTATCAGATCACGAGTTCTCGAAAAGAAAAAACAGATCACGCAGTGTCGTCAATTCGTCACGTGAGAATCAATCTCAAGACCAACATTGGTAAAGCCTCACTGATGTCCTGGCCAAGGTTTTCTCTCTAGACTTGCCGTCCCCTAGCATTGCTCTTCTCCGGCGGCTTCGGACGCCGAGGGGCTGTTTGGATCGTGGTCGGCGGTTGTCATGCAAAATATTTGGCGTTCACTCGAGCCACATGACACCGTTTGAATCAAAGCCTAATTACTGGCGCCACGTCAAAAAATCGGTCGTTGCGTTTGATTCTACATCCACGCATGGGCGAAACGGGGGCAAACGATCCGTCCGTCAATATATTGACGATCCCCTGATTTGGCGAGGCGGCCGTGGGCATGAAGTAAACGGCCCCTGAGAGTTTTTTTTCCTTCGATGTTCCTCGTTGCACTGGCTACCGACGATGATGAAAGTCTTTTTTCTGAAACTATCCCGACATGCTCTCAACGATGGGAGTACGTGAGTTGTTGGATCTCCAAGAGCGGATGGGAGCGGATGTGATTTATCTTGACTAAATTTTATCTAAACAAAGTTAAGGCAATTGAGTTCAACATTAACCGCTTTGGTGATCTTGTTCGTTTTGACAATTAGTTTAATGAAATGGTGTTGGGGTACTCTTCCTCTAATTTTATTGATGGTTAACGACGGACATAGTGTTGATTGGCGCCTAGCAAGCTTCTATGGTGAACCTGATTGAGACAAAAAATAAATATCTTGGTCCTATTTGTGTGATCTGCATAATAGTAACATGACGACGTGGTCGATAATTAGAGATTTCAGTGAAATTCTTGTGGACAGTGAGAAGGAATGTGGTAATATTCTTCCACGACATATGAAGGAGTGTGTGGGCGACCATGGTCTGCAGGAGGTATTTGTTATTGGCAGCTCCTTTACTTGGAGCGGGGGTGTCATCGAGGAACGGCTCGACATAGCCATATCTAAAGAAGCCTGGGCTACACAATTCCCCTTCGTTGCTAAAAGTGCGTTATATCGACTAGAGGGGGGTGAATAGGTGATTTTTATGAAATTCTTCACTGAGAAATTTGCTGGTGAGGAAATTCCTTAGCGAAGAACTACCAGCAGCGGAATGAGTACTCAAAAGTAAACATAACAGAATACAAGCATAGTCATCATGATGAAATGAAGACAGGCACAACGTACAGAAGCGTAAACACAGGATAACACAGGATGAAGACAAACAGACTGAAGAAATTGAACTGAGGAAATTGAGAAAGTCTTCAGTCAAAGTCTTCAAACACAGATATGAACAAGCACACAACACAGCTATGAGGAAATGAAAGAGTTGAGGAAATAGAACCAGTAAGCTTGGTGAAGACAATGATTTGGTAGACCAGTTCCAACTGATGTCTCAGTTGTACGTCTGGTTGGAGCGGCTGAGTATTTAAATTCGAGGACACACAGTCCCGGACACCCATGTAACGCCCTCGATGCTGCTATATCTCCCACATGTCGAAGCACGACTTAGAGGCATAACCATATTGAAAGCAATGTCGCAAGTGAGGTAATCTTCGCAAACAACCCATATAATACAATAGGGGAAAAGATACATAGTTGGCTTACAATCGCCACTTCACACAAATACATGAATACAACATTACAACATCCAAATACAATCAAGGTCCGACTATGGAACCAAAATAAAAGAAGAACCCCAAATGCGACAAGGTCCCCGATCGACCCCAACTGGGCTCCACTACTGATCAAGTAGAACGAAACAACACAAAGGACAAGATCTTCATCGAGCTCCTCCTTGAGATTAGTTGCGTCACCTGCTCGGTAACATCGGCACCTGCAAACTGGTTTTGGAAGTATCTGTGAGCCACGGGTACTCAGCAATCTCACATCCTCGCGATCAAGACTATTTAAGCTTATGGGTAAAGTAAAGGTATGAGGTGGAGCTGCAGCAAGCGACTAGCATATATGTTGGCTAACCTATTCGCAAAAGAGAGCGAGAAGAGAAGGCAAAAGCACGGTCGAACAACTATGATCAAGAAGTGATCCTAGAATAACCTACGTCAAGCATTACTCCAACATCGTGTTCACTTCCCGGACTCCGCCGGAAAGAGACCATCACGGTTACACACGCGGTTGATGTATTTTAATTAAGGTCAACTTCAGGTTTTCTACAACCGGACTTTAACAAATTCCCATCTGCCCATAACCGCGGGCACGGCTTTCGAAAGTTCAAATCCCTGCAGGGGTGTCCCAACTTAGCCCATCACAAGCTCTCATGGTCAACGAAGGATATTCCTTCTAGTAGGAAGACCCGATCAGACTCGGAATCCCGGTTACAAAACATTTCAACAATGGTAAAACAAGACCAGCAAAGCCACCCGAATGTGCCGACAAATCCCGATAGGAGCTGCATATATCTTTTTCTCAGGGCACACCGGATTGTCCAAGGTTCCGGTAGGCCAGCCCAGAGTTGCCCCTGGTGGCCACCGGCAGCTGACAGGTTGGACCAACACTCAGAGGAGCACTGGCCCGGGGGTTTAAATAAAGATGACCCTTGAGTCCGCAGAACCCAAGGGAAAAAAGGCTAAGTGGCGAATGGTAAAACCAATGTTGGGCCTTGCTGGAGGAGTTTTATTCAAGGCGAACTGTTAAGGGGTTCCCATTATAACCCAACTGCGTAAGGAACGCAAAATCCGGGAACATAACACCGATATGACGGAAACTAGGGCGGCAAGAGTGGAACAAAACACCAGGCATAAGGCCGAGCCTTCCACCCTTTACCAAGTGTATAGATGCATTAATTAAATAAGAGATATTGTGATATCCCAACAAATATCCATGTTCCAACAAGGAACAACATCTCCATGTTCCAATAAGGAACAAACTTCAATCTTCACCTGCAACTAACAACGCTATAAGAGGGGCTGAGCAAAGCGGTAACATAGCCAAACAACGGTTTGCTAGGACAAGGTGGGTTAGAGGCTTGGTTCAACAATATGGGAGGCATGATAAGCAAGTGGTAGGTATCGCAGCATAGGCATAGCAAAAGAGCGAGCAATTAGCAAGCAAAGATAGAAGTGATTTCGAGGGTATGGTCATCTTGCCTGCAAAGTTGTCAGAGTTGACTTGATCCTCGTAAGCAAACTCAACAGGCTGCTCATTAGCGAACTTGTCTCCCGGCTCTACCCAAACAAGACAAACAAGCAAAAGGAACACAATCAACCACGTGCAATGCTCAAACAACATGATACGAACATGGTATGCTATGTGGGATGCGATATGTGATGCATATGCAAGATTTGACAAGGAATGATTGAACCTGGCCTCAACTTGGAATTCTAAAAGTGCCATTGGAAAGGTGAGGTGATTTCGGTTGAAATCGATATAAAGATCACCGGAATCGGATGCACGGTTTGGAAATGGCAAGCAAAACAAATATGGCACCGGTCTGCGATAAACAGCAAGTAGCCATCTAAATGCATCAAGATAAATATGCTACAACACTCAAATATGACAACAAAATACATGGCAGGGATCCACTTATGATGCTTGACAAAATACGAACACTGAGCTACGGCCAATTTATCCATTAACAGGTTCCTACAAGCATGGCAAAAGAGCAAATGATAACAGGTTTCAGACTTAGTGAAATTAACACAAGTCTGGAATTTATTATCAGGAAGCACACTTTGGAGCATAAAAACTACATGCTACAGGAACTTAACATGGCAAAGCAAGGCATGGCATGAAGCTACTCAAAGCACTTAACAAAAGTCCCTTAGTGACCTTGAGCCAAAAGGGATTAAAAAATACAATTGCAAGCATGTGAACATAGCAAAAACATAAACAGATCTCAGACTTAGTGAAAAACTGGAGCATGTAAAACAGTTAATGAGTACGCATGTTTACGAACTCAATGCACTCACTACAGAGCATGGCATGACAAACTAAGCATACACCCCTCAAGAATACATGGCATAGAAGCTAGACATGGCAAGAACAACAACATAGCATGCACGGATCAATAGCAACATCATCGGCAAAATCGCTAACAAGTCAACAATCTGCCAGGATTCACGATATAGCAAAAGTAGAGCTTGATTGACTCAAACTAGGGTGCTCCATAAATACAAACAAAGACATGGATGGATAGAGCACCACAATATTAACAAAACCTCCTTACTGATCATCCTCAAAAGAGGCACGGATCACAAGGAAACAACATGAACATATGGCATAACGACAAAATCAGGACAAGGACTTAGTGAAATTCTAAATCCCTGAAATCAGCATTACCGATTACGCTACTTTGCAAGCTTGTGCTAGTCACCACAAGTATCACAAAAATACATGGCAAGAACCTCTGTAAAGATGGCATGGCATATAACAAAACACATGTAGGGCTCAACATCATAGCATGCACACATTAATCATGGCAAAAATGACAAAATGCCATTTGCTGAAACAGATCTGCCAAATTACTCACATAGCCCTCTTCCAACAGCATTTCGGGCATCAAGATGAGCTCAAATGAAAATGATGCAATGAGATGAAATGATGTACTCGTCAAGACGAACATTTTGATATGCTACATACGCGAATCGGAGCTGCGGATGCAGAGTTATGCATGATGAAGATTGCAAAAAAAAAATCTAGGGTTACGGGGAAAAAGTCAACCTCCCGATTTGGATCCGGTACTGTAGCAGGCGGCGCGCAAAACAAGGATCGCCTCGAGCTCGCCGGAGATGGCGGTTGGCATGGCCGGGGCAGCACTAGCGGGGCACGGTCGGCGGCGAGCGCAGCGGCGAGACGGCGGGGAGGCACGGCGGCCGAGGGCGGCAG